CACACCTCTAATTGGAGCTATTTTAGCCGATGCTTACTGGGGGAGATATTGGACAATAGCTGCATTTTCCACGATATACTTCATTGTGAGCACGTTTTAAAACCAAAACCTCCTTTCACGAATCCCCTGTATGCTGTTCCTTGTAAATGGTTGGCCATTAAATGAGATTATTTCTAGTCTTTACATGATTATAAACCTCTGGTAACTGGATTATATGGCTATCCACTCTCTATCATTTGTTATTTAATTACCTGGGTCATAAATAGAACTCGTCTTTGCTTAGAATGGTGTTTGGTTTTTCAGTGAGAATATACGCCTCTAGGATGAGATGTAGGTTTAAAGGAGTGGAAGATGTGTGAATGGATATGCTTAGAAAGTCTAAGGAAATATCTGTGTATTTGGGTCTTATTGAAGATTTGATGCTAAATAAAGCATAGTGATGTGAGATGATCCATTTAGAGTGGAGATCTTCGGTTTTACATTGTCTTTGGTGTTTTCTTTTTCTCTCCTGGTTTGGACAAGAAGGTGAGTCGATAAATAAACGTTCTGATGTTGAGGCTGATTTATCCAGGAATCCAGACTGAGTGCTTGCTATAACAATAACTTGGAATATCATCATATTATTATAGGCAATATCCAAAAGCTTTGGAAGAAAGACAGAGCTTTCAGACCCTATAAGATGCCTAGTGAATTCTAGCATAAGGAGCATTAGTTTGCTTAAGCTCTTTCTTGAGTGCTTATACTTGAATTGCTGAAATTTACTGCAGCTTGCAGCATTGTTTTTCTTCTGAATCATTCTAGTAACGGCTCTGCTGAGTTTCCTCTCATGTTTTCATTAGTGAACATATTTGATCAAACTTATTTGACAATTCATTTTTTGGATTAACGCATTAGCTACTACACTTTCCTCATTTTTGGCTGGAAGTACTTTGAAGTTGATGTTTAAACCTTTATTAGGAAAGTGTCAAGTCAGGTCTTAGCATTTCTCTGTGACTTACCACTTTTTGGCTGTGTGACTTCCCATTGCTTTCATTTCATGTTTTACGTTGATGAGGTGATGTTTCGCTGTAAAAAATTATGAACTTATGGACATCTTTGCTAATGCATACAACTGCTTGAAGTTCATTGAGTGCTCTCGCACGCGCGCACTGAAAAAGAAAAGTTGTTTCTCCACTATGGTTCCATCATATCAGCTTCCAAATTGAGATCGTTAGGTTTTTCTTAGGTTGTCATGTTGAGTGTATGATATTTTACTAGATGTCATCTTCTAAAAGCTCCTGATTCCATTGGGGTTAATGGAAAGTTCATTACCTCAGGGCATTAATTTGTGTTTAAAAGGGTAATGCTGAATTGTTCGTGGGCTTAAAATCATGTGAGTATGCCCTTGATATAGTTGTGTAGATGGAGTTAATTATGGAGTCGATAATACTTATAATTATTCCTTCTGGATGCCTTGAGGGCAGAAATCAAGCAGAAAACTCAATGGAGCTTTCGACCTCTAGGAAATAAACTGGTTTCCTCTTATGATTCAGATAATTATGAGCTCTGTGACAATAGGTAGCTGCTAATTGTCTGTTTCGTACATCTTTTTATATGATTAATTGGGACAATACTTTCTTGTTCAAGATAAAATGTGCCAATGCTGCTGGTGATTATAGCAAATAAGTGAGGCCGAATTAATCTGCCATCTCTCATCCCGTGTTCATCTTTTGTGCATAAACTTTTCTTCATAGCCTTTAGCTGATGTAAGAGAGTTACGGTTGATGATGCTGGTTTTTCGTTTTTTATAGGGTATGTGTACGTTGACTCTCTCCGCGACAGTTCCTGGATTGAAGCCTGCAGAATGTGTGGACTCTGTTTGCCCTTCAGCAACGGCAGCCCAATACGCAGTATTTTTCTTAGGGCTCTATCTGATTGCCCTAGGTACTGGGGGGATCAAACCATGTGTTTCCTCTTTTGGCGCCGACCAGTTTGATGACACTGATCCTAGAGAGCGAGTGAAGAAAGGGTCTTTCTTCAACTGGTTTTATTTTTCCGTTAACATTGGCGCTCTTTTATCGAGCACTCTCATAGTGTGGATTCAAGACAATATGGGTTGGGGTTTAGGATTCGGTATTCCTGCACTATTTATGGCAGTTGCTATTGCCAGTTTCTTCTCAGGCACGCCTCTCTATAGATTCCAGAAACCCGGGGGGAGCCCTATCACAAGGATGTGTCAGGTTTTGGTCGCATCCTTCCATAAGTGGAATGTGGAGGTCCCTGAGGACAGTAGTCTCCTGTATGAAACACAAGAAAAGAACTCTGCTATAGAAGGAAGCCGCAAAATAGAACACAGCAATGAGTTGAAGTAAGTTGTCTTTTTCTTCTTCTTTCTTATTGTATGAATGTTCCAACTAGTATTTCGTAAGTTTGTGTTTCTGCTCTTATATATATAACATATATACAAATATTTGACTCTTTAGTGGATGCCTAGTACAAGAGAAAAGATGTGATTACGGACATGGAAATATAAACATTTGTATGGAAACACTTCATCTTAACTATATGTGTGCAATGTCAACATCTTGCTGTGCAACTACTTTGAAGAAGTTATGAAATATTTCTGGAAGATTTCTAATCACACCCCCGAAATGTCATAAGAACAATACTCAATCATACCTTCACACTTCCGTGTACAAATTTTGTACGTCTATTCATGTTTTCAGTGTACTATTCCAAATTTACATGCATACTCATTTTCAAACCTACATGAAATACCAAGTTTCATGGTTTCCCATATATTTTTCTGCTTATCATGCCAGAGAAGATGATAAATTATGTACCGGAAAGGTGGACAAAGGGCTAACGATCTCTACTATAATAACAGATGCCTCGATAAAGCTGCCGTAGTCACTGATGCCGAGACCAAAAGCGGGGACTTTTCAAATGCCTGGAGGCTATGTACAGTTACTCAAGTGGAAGAGCTGAAGATTTTGATCCGTATGTTTCCAATCTGGGCCACAGGAATTGTATTTTCTGCTGTATACGCGCAGATGTCTACCCTGTTTGTGGAACAAGGGGAGATGATGGACACTACTGTCGGCTCTTTCACTATTCCTGCAGCATCTCTATCAACTTTCGATGTCATAAGCGTGATTTTCTGGGTGCCCGTCTACGATCGGGTCATCGTTCCAATAGCGAGGAAATTCACAGGCAAGGAAAGAGGCTTTTCCGAGTTGCAGCGGATGGGAATTGGCCTCTTTATATCAGTTCTCTGCATGTCGGCTGCTGCTGTAGTGGAGATTAAGCGTCTCCAAATTGCTAGAGAACTCGGCTTGGTTGACGAAGACGTCGCCGTGCCAATGAGCATCCTTTGGCAAGCACCGCAGTACTTCTTGCTGGGCGCTGCGGAGATATTCACTTTCATTGGGCAGCTTGAGTTCTTCTACGACCAATCTCCAGACGCCATGCGGAGCTTATGCAGCGCACTGTCGCTCTTGACTACTTCCCTGGGGAATTACCTGAGCTCCTTGATCTTGACGATCGTGACGTACGTCACAACCGAAGGCGGGCAGGCCGGATGGATACCCGATAACCTGAACGAGGGCCACCTCGACTACTTCTTCTGGCTCCTAGCCGGGCTCAGCTTCTTGAACTTGCTCGTCTACGTCGTCTGTGCCATGAAGTATAAACGGAAGACGGCCTCTTGAGGGGTTTGATCAGATTGTCCCTTGGATTTCATACAGAAGGATTGGGTCTTGGCAAAAATTTGTACTTTTCAAGTGTTTGCCTGCATGGTGGTGTATATAAAGCCAAGGCATGCAGTTCTAAGGTGAATGTGCTTCCTCATTTTGCATTATAAGAACAAAGAAGGATTTCCTTCTGGACCATAACTGCGTAATGTTTATTGACCCAGAAGTATATTATTGAACATATTGCACAATTTCCCATAGTTTGTAAACAGTTGTGACTAAATGCATACTTAACTATGACTCTCATGATTAGATGCAGGCAACTCTAATGAGAAGATTCTTTTTATATTTACAGTGATAATTACTCATCAACAAGAACACACAACAAATTTAAGGGCATGTTAATTTAAATTTCGAAGAAATTACCTCTACCTCTTTGTAAATTACCACTCTTCTCTAGCTTGCTTGTTTTTTCGAATCTAAACCAATGGCACAAAAACTGAAGATTCTGGCGAAACGAGGAAAGTTAAGAAGTGAGGAGATTTACATTCTTACTTTATGCTTTCATATTATTTTACACTCATGAAATGGTGGACGTGATTGTAACATAATAAAAAAAAGGTATTGCAATTTTAATTTTTCATATTTCCTTTAGAACAAAGGGATGTAGCTACATGGCGTGATTCAAATCCATTTTAAATAAAACTCCGCGTAAATTGTAACTGAAAATTTTATTGATTCGAAAGGTTTATGTTGTTATAATCTTCTAAAAATTATTACTCTCGTGAAAATTCATACATACATATGTGCATATAATAAAGTACTAATTTAGTCAAAATGAGAAGATTGTATATGTGCAAATTCGCTCATTAAATGGGGAAAAAATGACACAAACAGTCTCTGAATTTTGACTTAATGTATAATTTGATTCTTGAACTTTTAATTTGTTCAATGTAGTCCCTGAATTTTAACCCAATATTCAATGTGGTCCTTGAATTTTCAATTTGTTCAGTATGGTCCATGTGTTTAATATAGTTCCTGAATTTTATAAAAATGTTCAATGTAATCCTTTCATTAATTCAAGTTTATGGATTATATCGTACATTTTCATATAGTTCGGAGGCTAAATTGAACATGTATCAACTGTTTAGGGACCACGTTAAATAAATTAAAAATTAAAGAGTCATATTGAATATTAAACTAAAATTCAAAAATTATATTGAATAAATTAAAAGGTGAAGAATCAAATTACACGTCGAGTCAAAGTTCAGGAATTGTCTGTGTCACGGTAACTTAAATGGGATCACCCAACTCGCATCCCTTCCTCGTCGATCCCGACCGGGCAAAATAACGAGGTTGTCGCATCGGCCGCATTTCTCAGAGCGACACACACAGCAGAAGCCGAAGGCTGTGAGAGGGAGGGAGGGATGGAGGTGGAAGGATCGTCGAAGAAGATGATAGCGACGCAGGAGGAGATGGCGGCGGCGAGGGTCCCGCTGGCGTACCGGGACCAGTGCGCCCACCTGCTGATCCCGCTCAACAAGTGCCGGCAGGCGGAGTACTACCTGCCGTGGAAGTGCGAGGGGGAGCGCCACACGTACGAGAAGTGCGAGTACGAGCTTGTCATGGAGCGGATGCTCAAGATGCAGAAGATCCGCGAGGAGGAGGCCAAGCTCAAGCAGGGCCTCAAGCAGCCGGCCATCCCTCTCATCCCCAAACCCGCCAACGCTTAGCTCCTTATTCTCCTCCTCCTTTCTTTCTTCTGCTGCTCAAAGGTCAGTTTTTTCCGCTTCTTTTGGGGAGATTCCTGGTTGCTGTGACTTCTTCTCCGCGCCAGGAGATTTGGGTTTCGATTTTTTGGGTTGTTGCGGAGGGATCTCCATTTGTGAATTCTTTGTTTCCGTCGTCGATGTTTGGTTGATGGATTATTGATTATGGGGGTGGTAAGCAGCAGCAATTTTGGGTCTGATTGTGCTTGTTGGGATTTAGAGGGTGGGGAGTTATTTTCTAGGGTTTGTTTGTAAAATTTGAGAGATTTCGCAGTGGGCGGGCTTATTGGATTGTAGATTGGTGGCTATTTGTGATGATGGACGAGTGTACATCCGTTGCTGGTTGTCAAAATTTGAACTTGTTGGAGAACGGGGAATGGCTTATTGTGTAAGATAAGGTTGAAGGTCGAATTGATGAACTATGCGAATTAAAAATGTCCATACATTGTCTATTTAAGCTGCTATCTTGTTTGGTGGATCACCTCTTGGCAGTGTTTGCCGTCCAAACCCCAAGAGCTTCTACGATTGTGTTCAATCTCAACCAACATTTGTAAAAGGGAGGAGGCTTCTCTTTTGCTGAGTTATTCTTTAGTTTGTTTTTTAGAATGAAACCTTGGAAACTTTAAGGTGTTCTTTTCCGCCCTCGTTGATTGGGCAGCCCGGGGTTTGTGTATTTGCTGATGCTGATTGTTTTTCTTCCTTTGCTGTTTCCCCATTCATCCAGACCCATCTCATGCTTCTTATTGGCAATTACTCGTAAACTGCATATTAACATTATCAGGAGTTCATCTTCAAAATTTCATCATACACAAACACAACCAATTGCCCTTAGCGGGATTAATGCTGCAACGAAGTTTGTGCTTGTTGCTATACAAACAGCCTTGGAAAGATATCTTACGGTCTTACCACTAGATCATATGATGTTTCATTTGGTATTGGCTTGGCTAGGCCTAGCTTTCTTCATAGCTTATGTTATCGTAAGTGATCTCCTGTTCTGGATTTGCCAAAACTGTGGCACTTGCATTCAGATAGGTATAGCAACAAGAATTATCCATTGCTACATGAATGTATTATATCTTGGACACCTGACTGGAGAAAAATGGAAGCAAATTTCCTGTAGACTTAGTGCAGACTGCACTTATTGAAGTTAAACCTTATGCCCTTTACAACTTTTTCTGAATGGAAGCTTTTGTAGATTGATGGTTTTTGTCTCCCATTCTAATTGGTTTTTTTCATTGCCATTCTTTTTAAGTTTTTCTATTTCCGTTTCTTTTTTGATGGAACGTCCGTTTGGACATGCAATAGGTTGTATTTCTCTTTCTATAGCAAATTCTTTATCCATCACTATGGTTTCTTATATTTAATGCAATCGAAAGTTTGTTCATCTGCAGATAGATCTCTACCGACATGTGATTAAAAGGGTTACTTATCCTGTCTTTTGGATTACTTCCTATTGTGTTTATACTGAACTCAGAACTGGTTAAAAGCACTTTCACAAATATCTTTCATACTTAGCTTGCATATTCATGGTTAAGGATCGAGCATTTTTGCATTAGCATTTTCTACCCCTCCACGGAAAACATGATCCTGCAGATAGACGGCTCTTTAAAGCAAGTTTCAGCTATATTGTAGTTTGTGAAGGAAGATTTTCTTTGCTTTGTATGGCTTTGATAAAACCCCTTTGCTTATACTAATATAGCCTAAGATTCACCTTGCCTTGTGATTTGTTGCAATTCAGTTGCTTATCATACAATACTCTGATTCGTTGACTTCACAGCACTCTTCACCTGATGTAGTATCAGTTATCGGTAGCGATTGTTGGTGACAAAACTGCAGTTCATCTAGTTTTATGCAGTGAATATTTGTTTTTCATGTGGAATTTAGTCGTTATATCTCTTGCTGTTAACCCATGCATACTAGTTGTAGGATTATGTGATTTCACTCATAAAAGAAAAGAATCAGGATATTTAGAGAATACACTAAAATAGTGTAGGGGTCAACAAGATGGGCTAAATATTGTAAGTTAGTTTACTTGACAAATTGGATATTCCATCTTGACAATAGCATTTGACAATCTCATGTGAGAAAAACTCTTATTTCCGTAGAGTTCATTGTGCTCCCAAAGCTATTTGATGCACACACCTAGAAAATATTCTTAATGTTCTAGTGAAGATATATGCATCTAAAGGAATGCTTTGGGAAGTTATCATTAATGCAGGAGAAGGAAAATGCTACAGGAAAAGATATCAAGAAGTATGAGAGGGTGTTTGGAATGTAGAGACAGCAATGAATGCATTTTATCTAACAACAAAATGGCAACCTTGGTGTGCAGATGGGCTTACAAATTGAAGCGTGCCCATGCTGTCTTTTTTTTTTTTTTTTTTTTTTTTTTGTGGTTACATTTCCCATGCATCTCGCTCACCCTATAAATAATCAGGTATTCAGTCATTTGTATGAAGTGTTAGAAAGTCAAAACAAGTTATGTAAAATAGTAGTTTCTAAATCCTTGAACGCCTTGTTTGGATCTTGCAGTGCACCTTAGAGTTCCAATTAGTACTCTTCATCGTGGATGCTTCTACATGGTGTTTCTCTCAACAATTGTAGAGCATCTCTTCCATAGAGTTGATTCTTAAGCTGAAAGGATGTGAAATACATTAGCTGCAAAGCTATAGATTCTGTTTCTGATGCTAGTTGTCTATTTGCAGGGAGCTCGAGCATGGATGCTTTTGGTGAAAAATTTACTTCGTTTATCTACTCATTGTTCGTTGAGACTTGTATGCTTGAGCATAATTGCAAGGAATATTGGTACCTTCATCCTCTCTAACTTTTGCTACTTTTGTCTCGAGTTACGGAATAAACGGAAAATCAATTGTGATTGTACATTGTAAACTGGTTGGAGTCTTTTCTTTGGGTCAATATTTTGTCTTTCTGGACCTCCATGAAAATAATATTTTCGAACACTTGGTTGTCGTGTCTCTTCGCTTAGGTGACAATGGTATTTCATATTAGATTAGTTTTGTGGTGCTTAGTTAAAGGAAGTGAGAATGAATTCTTTCCTCCCACGGCTTAGCTTCAGTGAGGCTTGTTTTCTCCTGTCTTTAACCAAAGAGGACTTGGTTTGACCAAGTCAGTCATACCAGGTCATGCTAGTGCTCCTATAGTGTAATGTCCCGATCGCTAATGGTTATACTATTGAGTAAGGTGAGATGTTGGTATATCGTCAATAAAAAATGTTGCTCTATCATTGCACATATTTCAAAGATTTTGAGAAGTTGATGGACTAAGCAGCATTATTGTTTCCAAGAATTTGATGGACTAGGCAGTATGATTGTCATACTTCAAGAAAAAAAAAATTGATGAGAAATTCATTCCATAATATGGTCTGAATAATTCCAGAAGTAATGAAATATTAAACCTCAATCTCTTCATTTTAGTTTATATCTTTCGGTTAGCTGGATGATGCCATCTCAAGTATGTCAATCTTAACATTCCTTTAAGCGCTGAGCTACCCGCTTGTTCTTTGACACTCTGATTCGATAGAACAGAATGGAAATTTGCTGCTTTTAATTTGGTTGGGCATATGTTAGCCCGGGGGTGTGATTTTTTCACTTACCCGTAGTTACATCTACTCTGCAATGAGAAGCAGTGATATTGCTGGCTGTGTGAAATGTTGAAGCTGCTGGCGGTAATAGTTGTGATGGTGAATGTAGTACTTGGAAAAGCTATGGTGGTAACACTCAGACCTTAAAGTCGGTGGCGGCTATGGTGGTGATAGTGGACGTAATGAGATAAGGTTTTTGTGGAGGTGAAGGTGGAATTAGAAGTGACGATAGAGCATGATGGTTGCTGGGTTAGGAGGTGAATGTAGTGGCAGAACGGAATGGTGGTGGCCAGATGGAGATGGTCTTGTGGAGGTTTTCATGGTGCAATCGGAGGTGGCCATGAAGAAGAGTTGGAGGTACAACATTATTAGAGGTGGTGGTGGTAGGGGATGGATATTGGAGGTGGTGGTGGTGTCTGCGACCGTGATTTATAAGCGCGCTTTACTGGAGTTGGAGGTGGAGGTGAGGTGATTGAAGTAGAGCTGGCAAGACAGCCGGTAGTGGAGTAAACTGGTGCTGGTAGTAGCAGTAGCTTGTGGAGGACTGGCGGTTCCGCGGTGGTGGAGGGAGTGGCAGTGGACTAGTGGTGAAGTTGGTGGTTTAGGAGGCATGTCAAGGTTTCGGCTAAACCAAGCTTTTGTCATCTCCTATCGCCCGTTTGTGATCAAGATGGCTTTCTTATAATTAAGCCCGATCAATTCTTCTCACTCAAATTTTATGCTTTAGCGTATCGCCCATTAGGAGTACACATCTTCTTCTCTACTATATAAGATGTCCTCATTCTTTTTTCTTTTCTTTTTTCCCTCAGGTTTTGATAAAACACAGTCGAATTTATCAGCTGCAAAACGGATCTCCGTTGCCACTTGTACAAGTACTTTTGGCAAACATCTCGTAATTAGAAAGTTGTTCACTTGGCTTTTATCGCGTTGTGGCGTTAAAATACGCATTACTAAACATACAGGTTACAATGATTCACGAAGTAGCAACAATAGTCATACGAACAGCTTTCAAAAGGTCTTGATTTTAACATGATTTCGAGCATATTCAAAAGCACAGAATGTAATATATATCAAGAATCAATGAGGAACTTGCACAGGGGTGGAACAAGTTTGGTGCTTCATGTCCAGTCGAGCCCCAGGGCCAGTGGCTCCACATTACCTATTATTATTGAGAGACCGAGAAATTGGAGAGGAGAAGCAATTGGGCCTTTGAAAGGTGCCTCTACACTAACCAACCGAGTAACCCAAAGTGGACGTATGTCCAAATTGGCTCATTCTGAGGCCGGATTGGAACTAGGCCCAAATCCACATGAACCAACCAAGTACCGAAATGTAACTCAATAATCATTAACACTTAGACCCGATCTCCATTCGTGTATCGAACGAACTTCAAAGCTCTCTTTTACTATTTGCGAGCCGTATGCTCAAACGCTTCGCAATTCGGAGTGGTTCTACGTACGACCAGATGGGCCTTTAGCCCTCCCGTTATTTATCTCGGCATCTCGGTCCGCCTCCGTGTTCAGTCTTTGATATACTTGCCAACATGCACATTCTTACTTACCTATGCCAATTGATGGTCCATGTATTTTTCCTTTTTGCAGCACGTGGAAATTGACGGAAACAGATTCCTAAAACATAATACAAAAATTGCAGAAAAACGTGCCCATTCTATACTTGAATCGCTGATCGTTCGAAGTATATCACATAAACGAACATACCTCTTTGCCACAGATTAAATGCACTTATCACAGCCTCGAGAGAGAGAACAATTCTTGAATTGTTGAACAAAGCCCCTTCTTCTTTGTCCTTTAGTGAGAATGAGTTTTCTGATCATGAAAAATGCAACTCGCACACACATTCTTACGTGTGTTCTCACCTTATTTGTTTCTAGACAATAACTGCCAAGTACAGTTATTTTCTTTCATGGGCTGGGTTAGCCCATCATGGGCGGCCCATCTTCACAAAGAAAATCCATTATCTCCCACTCGCACATGGTGGGCTAAACATTAACTCTCTCTTCTTTGCAATATTCATACTAGCAAATAATCAGTGCGACCAAGCATACTTGAGAGCTCGTTGCGATGCATACTTAGGAATACATAGCGACTCAAAATTGGGTACAACGTTTTCCGAGTAGATATAGTATGTAGTCCCTAGATCAATCGATCACATTTATATCCCCTTTGATCTCTTTTAGTATCTCGTATATTGTATTCACAACTATGATTTACTTAAAATCATAATTGGTCGACCTGTGAATACAAACATAGAATGTGACATCATAATAAATTGATCTTCCTCTTTCCTTCAATCTCTCTATTTCAGTCCAGCTCGCTTTTCTAGAAATGCCCCATTAGATCGAATCATTCATGACCATTGGCAACATCCTAAGATAGCGAACACTGAATAGAAACTTTGAGAATAAGTTAGAGTCATGAGGGCACTAAATGAGAAACTCATATTCTCAAGAGTCTCACACGGCATAAAGTTGAGATCAAAAACTTTTGCCACTCTTATCGGTCGTCTTATGCATACGTAGTATGAAACACGTATTACGGTATTAACTCCTTTCCCGTGGAGCGTATGTCTTTACATTCAATACCGTACAGATGATAGTTCGGACATACCTAATGTCTAAACTTGAGTTCACGTATCTACTCCTCTAAAGAATCCATTAGAACTCACATCTGGCATCAAAGACAGATAAAGTAAAATATGTGGGTTATTTTACTTTCGGACATAGTAAATGTTATGTCCTCATCTTAGCACTTAGCTAAGGCAATATTTTTATTTTAAGCTTGAGCTCTCGATTATCACCTAGATAATAAGCCTAAAAATTGTCTCATCTCTATTTATCGCACAGTAAATAGAGGCGATTACCCGTGTAAGTGGGCTAATCTCATCTGTCAGACATACTTTCTCGATATAATGCACTAAGCATTAAGATGCATAAATATTAAATAAATTCATAGGCATTAATAATGAGATAACAATTTCATTTAAATGTGAACATTCAGGGAAATTACAATATTCAGTACATCAGCATCTACGCAATCCCAGAGATTTTACATGACCATAGAAAACATCTCTTGGAATTGGCTTCGTCATAGGATCTGCTATCATTCTATGCGTAGATATGTACTGCAAGTTCACATCTTTTCGTGCAACCATATCCTTGACAAAGTTATACTTGGTATCTATATGTTTGGTCTTGCCATGATATTTCAGATCCTTGGTGTATGCTATCGCTGCTTGACTATCACTATTGACTAACAATGAGTTTTCAGCATTCTTAGCAACACCTAAATGATCCAAAAATCTCTTAAGCCAAACACCTTCTTGTACTGCTCTTGACAACGCCACTAACTCAGCTTCCATCGTGGACAATGCTATACATGTTTGTTTCTTACTGCTCCAAGATATGGCGCCATTATTCAGTAAGTAAACAAAACCAGAGGTAGATTTCCTTTCATCTAAATCTCCTCCCCAATCAGCATGTGAGTAGCCTTCAAGTCGCAGATCCTTGCCTTGATAACTCAGTGAATAATTAGCAGTACCCTTTAGATACCTCATGATTCTTTTTACGGCTTTCCAATGTGCTTGACTTGGATTGGATTGGTACCTACTTACCATCCCAACTGCAAAACATATGTCAGGTCTTGTACACATCATAGCGTACATTAAACTTCCAATAGCACTAGCATAAGGGACACGTTTCATTTGTTCCTTCTCTTGTGGAGTCTTAGGACACAACCTATGGCTCAATCCTTCACCTTTTGCAATAGGAGTATCCATGGGTTTACAGTCTTGCATACAAAATCGTTCAAGAACTTTATTTATATAAGTCTCTTGCGAAAGAGACAATAATCTCTTGGAACGATCTCTTGAAATCTTAACTCCAAGAATATATGCAGCCTCACCCATATCTTTCATCTCAAAATTGGACGATAACCAACTCTTAATAGTATTAACCAACTCCATATTGCTTCCAGCAATCAGTATATCATCAACATATAATGATAAAATCACAAATTGATCTTTGGATCTTTTGATATACACGCAATGATCTTCATCAATCATTGTAAAATCAAACGCCACTATGGCATTATGAAAACGTATATACCATTGTCTCGAAG